GAGAGAGAGAGAGAGAGAGAGAGAGAGAGAGAGAGAGAGAGAGAGAGAGAGAGAGAGAGAGAGAGAGAGAGTATCAAGCACTTGCACACACACACACACACACACACACACAGAGAGAGAGAGAGAGAGAGAGAGAGAGAGAGAGAGAGAGACGTACGTTGTGATGATTTGGGACCCACCCTGCCGACAAAGTCGGCGAGGAGGGTCTGCCTGTTTGCGCGAGAGGAAGAGGATTCCGTTGTGCTGTGCAAGTGCTGTTGCCCTCCAGTTTTCTCTCTCTGTCCGTCACGGACCGGATATTGGGTGTGGCTGTCCATTCGGATCTCGACTCAGATTCTGGAAAATCTATTTTTTTTAAGTTTTGTTTTTCGGGAGAAAATATATTTATTTCTTTTTTTCGAAAGCTCACTCCACCTACTCATCATGATGGGTCACGCTGCGCTACTCTCGACATGGACAAAAAACAAAAATTATGGCCGTGTATCTTTCCATATTCTAGCGGAAGATTCGCTCTCGTTTTGCACATTTTGAGAGTAGTGCAACGTCTCGTTTTGCACATTTTGAGAGTAGTGCAACGAGGCCCGATGTTGGTGTGGCGAAAGCCTGACGCTTGCAGAACAATTCTCCTCTTCTTCTTTTTTTTCTGTTCTTTTTTTTTTTTGTTCCTTTTTTTTTTCTGCCCTTTCTTTTTTTCTCTCCTGGTCGTCATGTGGTCATACGGTGACGGCAGCGTGCGGTCGGGATCTGGGAGACGTGATGGGGGGGTGGACGGACTCTCTGTTTTCGAGGGTATGCCCGCGACTGCTGTCCGGGGGCTACACGAAGTAAGTGATATTGACCGTAGATAGCAAGGATCAACGGCCAGATCTCTTAAACCACCAGTACTTGGCCCTGCTATGGATGCCGAGCCTGGAATGTCCCTGCGCGCCGAAGCGCCTGGGTACCGTTTCGATTTTTTTTTGGCTGGGGCTTCTAGCCATTGTGGTCCGGTACCCCGAAGCCCTAAAGGCTGGGAAAGCCCCCCGGCCTATAGCTAGGTACCGGTGGGCTAGGGGGTTCGTGGTATCAGCCTAACGAAGGGTGCTTGGGACCGAGGGGGTTCATGGTATCAATTTAGCGAAGGGTAAGTGTGACCTTCACTTTAGGACTGGTTGTCTTTTCAGTTTAATGGGGTATATGGTGTTAGCGTTCTCTATGAATAGTACCATTGGCACTTTTTTCGACTAGGTACCGGTTCCAGTAAGGTCGGTATGGAAGTGAGTGGGACTAAGACCGAGAGAGAGTTTTTTGGAATATTCGGAAGGATGTTGAGGCGGCGGGCTATTTCGTTTTTTCTAGTTCTGACGTGTTAACCAGGCATATGGTATCGGTGTTCTCGATGAATAGTACCAAGGACATTTTTTCGACTAGGTTCAGGTATCGGCGAGCTCGAGAAGGATGTGCGCGGGACTAATATCGAGAGAATATCTTTTGGAAGGATGTTGAGGTGGTGGGCACGCGCTTTTTTCTTTTTCTGTCTTTTTCAGACGGTCTGCTGCTTCATTTTCCGTAGTTGGTTTCGTACTTAGGACCTGTTTTTTGGTAGACTATAGACACGGCTTTTTTAGAGCACCTTGCGTTGACTTTAGTTGTTGTCGGTAACGAGTAGTATATAACAAATCGCGATGATGTTAGACGTACCGACTCACTTAGACCCCAGATGATCCTGGTTTGGCGGCCAGGTGAAACCGGTAGGGTCGTCCGCCAGGCGATAACTTTGTTGTCTTCTCTATTTTCCATGGAATATCTTTAATCAAGTCGTGTTCGAGGACATCATCTTGCTTTTCTTCTTTCTCCCTTCTTCTCCATGTCTATTCTCTCTTCGATCTGCCTTCTCGTTATCGTGCATATTGTTGATATCTGATGTCATCGTACTCTCGGTATTGGCTTCGGTCATAACTCTACTTTAACGTACGGAGTAACCGACGTAGAAACTGGACTACAGTTGAGTGGCTTCGCAATTCAGACGAAGAGACGGCGTCGAACGGTAACAACAATTATGGTGGCAACAACTTGAATGGCGGTGGCATGAGGGGTAATTGCTATAACTGCGGGCAGCCTGGACATATCTCGAGGTTCTGCCCGCTTTCGGATAGGCGACTCAACGACCAGAGCATGGCGATAGTACCTGTGCAGACACCACTGACAACCGCTCCAGCTTCCGCTGCAGGCACCGGGGTTCCTACTTATCCGAAGCAGTACACGAACGGAGGAGGTTGGCTCGAGAGCCGAGTGCGTACGCTGGAAGATAAGGTGGGGAGGATCCTAACCAAGCATGAAGAAGAGGAAGCAAGGGTGCGTGAAGCCAAGGAAGAAGAAGATACGAGAAAACGCGAACGAGAAGAAGAGGAACGAAGACAATGGGAGAAGCTAGACAGAGAAGAATTACACTCTAAATTGAGTGGCAAGTTGGATCGAGTGTGCGAGGCGATCGAAGGAAAAAAGAGCAACGGTGATGACGACGTGGCTAAATTGAAGTTGAAGATTGAAAAATTGCAGAAAGCGCAGACAGGGAAGCAAGTGGCGACAACAATCAAAGAGAACGACGGCAACAAAGAAATGGCAAAACTAAAAGAACAGGTGGAGATGCTGACGAAGCAGTTTGCTGCTACAGCGTCTACTTCAGGGACTAAAGATAATGGGGAATCGGAAGAAATAGCGCGTCTTCGAAGAGAGCAAGTTGATATGAAGGCAGCGGCAGATAAGAGGTTTGCGGCCTTAAATGAGGTTATCTCAGCCTTGCAACGACAATGTGAAGAAGCAGAGGCGAGCGCTAAAGCATGGAAGTCCAAAGCACTACGACCCGGGAACAAGAGGGGCAGTGTAGAAGTTGGTCCTACTCCGGGTACTCAAGCTCGCAATCGGCCAAGGGTGACATCGATTGGGACTCCGAAGCTAGCGACGGGTGTGGACATGCGGATGAAGGGATTGATAGAGAGACATCAATAAGAGGTCGAACTTCTTAAGGAGATGAGATTACGGGAGATTAAGGCGAGGAAGGAATCGGAGCTTGAGATTGAACGATTGAAGGAGGCGATGACGCACCTGAAAATGGAGGAGAGAACGCGGGCAGGAGGGACGAATTTGAAAACCAAGATGGATGAGGCCGCTTGTCCTACGGCAAGAAAAGACAAAGGAAAAGGAGCAAGCACATCGGCGACCAAGGCGACTCAACGTGATACGATTATAAAGGAGGAGAGGAGAAAGTTGCGCAATCTTAACAAGGAGAAGATTCTACTGATCTGCGAAGAAGAAGGAGTACCTTACACGACTCTTGAGCCTACTAAAGAAGATATTGTTCAGCGACGCGCCAAAAAGATGTTTAACAAAGACGAGCACAAGAAGGAAAAGGAGAAAGAGATCTCAGTTCTGGAAGTCGCGGAGGATGACGGCGAAGATTGCGAAGCGGATGACGGGCGTGACTCCACGTCTTCTTAGGATCACGCCCCGGCATGACTTATTTATGGGAATTGGTAAGATTTTGCTATCAACTTCGTGCACGGTCTGTAGAATCACTGAGGAATAGACTAGTGAACGTGGTGATGTGTTTAGCGGTCTGTGAGCTGATTGTGCTTGGCGAAATTCCGTGGGGTTTGAAATTGACGAGATATTTTTCCAGTATTTTTTCGGTCGGAAATTCTGTTGAGGATGATTGGAACGACCTTGTGGTATATGCTTTAGTTTCCCCGTGGTCACATCAGATCTATATAGGGAGCACGTAACGGGACATCCATAGTCGTTGGAGAGAACATGTTTATCGGTCCTGTCAGTCAACGATCGTCGACGGTGGTCGGAGAAACGAACGTCTATATAAGTGGCTTCGGAGAGACGACACGCTGTCGTATGTCGCTATTCCTCTCAGTAAATGTACGCTTGACAATTTACTAGTTACTGAGAAATTTTTTATTCGTCTGTTTTCTCCTTCGTTAAACACTCGGGATAAACCCAAACGAGCCCGGCGGCGCCGTCCAGGACTTCGGGAAAGATTAAGGATCAAGAAGAGGTGTTCGGTGGTTAGCTACCCGACCGCGAGTAAGCACGGATCGCTGTTGACTTTTTCGATTGAGTCCGGGGTAAGATATGACATCCTGTTGAGGATTCTGGAGGACTGTAGGATTAAGTCTGAACGAAGCGTGGTGATTCATTGTCAAGGAGGCGATATGCTCATAGATCGCTAGAAGGTGCTGAAACGGTTGTACGGTGGGAGTCTGGTTTCGTGTGGGTTTGGCACAGGGGAACTTCGATATGCTAGAGGCTGGTTAAAAGGCGGCGTGACGCTGGTTTTTGAATCCGTTATACCCTTCCTTAGTAGATCTTTAGGTCTGAAAGCTCCTCTCGCTGATTTACTTAGCAACCCACGGTGTCGCATCGGCTTGAACAATTGAAATTTTGAGAGATTGGTGGCCGCGTACACGGCGATTCGTACTTTTGGAGAGAAGAGAACCAGATTTCGGCTCCGCTGTATTCTGTCGAAGTGCATTGCGGCTCGGTTTGGTATCCATGTCAGGAAACGGGTGGTGGTTCGGTTGGTCTACGATGATGTTATTTCGAAGGCAGAAGTTAGGAAGTTATGCGCGTTGGTTGTTCGGAGCTTGGAAATTGCTGACTGCTGGAAAGCTATGCTGATTAGACGTATGAGAATTGTCTGGAAGCGAAATCGGAGTGTCGGCGATCTGTTACACAACTTTCGTTCCTTCTCAAGGACTGAAGTGGCAGTTTGCTCTTGTGAGTCGATCGACCCTGCTCTAAAATGTATTGATGGCCACATAGCTTTCCGGATCAATGAGTGTTCTGACTTTCCAGCATGGTTGAAGAACTCGAAAAGCGTGCTGAGACCTTCCAAGTCACGACCTCACGCAACCTTGAAAAAACAAGTCCTGGCTGCTTTTTCGTCACACCCCTCTCTTCCGTCAGTTGATACCGGTGTTTTGACCAAGGCTCGTTTAGAAGAATGTATTTTGACTCATACAATGTCAATGGTTAACGTATGAGAAGACAAGCTCACTCCTTTTCAGAAATAGTTTGAAGGATTGGTTTGTTGTTCGCTAGATCATAATCCGGGAGATACGTACGTTTGTTGTCCGGTGCTCTATGAGGATGGAATGAGGAAATTGTTATTTGGAAATCCCGGTTTTGAAGTAATGACGTGCTCAAAAGAAACTGTTATGAGGGTAGGACGTGAGGAGTATGTTGATGCTGGTTTGCAAACGGTTGGTAAATGGAATAAGAATGGAAGGGTGGGGATGGCGTATTGTGTTCCCAAGCATAAGGACGTCAATCGGTGGAGGCCGATCTGTCCATCGCACTCTGAGTGCTCGGTAACGGGAGGTAAGATCGTTTTGCATGTAGTCAACGCCCTCCTTTGGAACCTGCCAGCTGATTCTAATTTGAATAAGCGAAGTGCAGACAATCTTCTAGCACGAATGCAAGCGGTAAACAAGGGTTTGAAAGAAAAAGATGAGGTGATTGGGGCATCGTTCGATGTAAAGGAGATGTTTTCAAATCTCCCTCATGCATCAATCCTTGAGACGTTGGATTGGGTAATAAAATTCTGGTTGGAAAGAGATGTGCGGGCAGTGGCTGTAAGGAAGCAAGGTCGTGGTGTAAAACTGTTGAAAGGTAAGGTGGAGGAAGGATGGAAGAAAGTTTCTTTTGCAGCGGTAAGGGATTTCATATCTTTTGAACTGAAGCATACGTACGTGCTAGTTGCGGAACGCCTGCTTCGGCAGACAATCGGGATTCCAATGGGTAAGCCGTCCAGTCCAGCGCTGGCATGCCTATTGTGTGCACACAATGAGTTTGTCTTCTTGTCAAGTTTGGGGGTCGATCAAAAATTTTTCAAAGGATTTAGAATGGTAGATGACGTCTCGGTCTTTGTGATCTGCAAGAAAGGCAATAGTGAGCCGAGACAGAGAGCTGATAATCTCATTGAGTCCTTTAGTAGGAGCTATGACAGTAACCTTATTCTTGAGAAGAAGAATGAGGGAAGTGTTTGGGATTACTTGGGTTGTGTTTTGAAGGTTCGCAAAGGCAGGGAAGGGGTACTATGCCTTCCGTTGATGAAAAACCGACGGGGTGATGTGAATGGACAACTGGTATTTCAGAGTATTCAGAATTTCTGCTCCTTTTCGGACCGGCGATAAAAATTTACGGTGATCTCATCCTTCTTGCACCGAGCAAAAAGTTATTCTTCTCTTGTTGATGATGTGTTTCCCTATTTATTTTCCTTGAAGTGTGAACTGTGGCGAAGGGGGTATCCCGATAGCTATTTTGATGGGGCGTTGATCAGCTTCTCAAGGAAATTCGGCGGGTTGTGGAAGGAATGGATACCTTTCTTAACGAATTGGAGTCGGTTGATTGGTGACTGAGAATGTGACCTCCACTGTAGGAGAGTCGAGATTGTGTTGGATCTTATGGGTGACTGTGATGACGATGTCCTGTTGGCACAGAAGTGGTTGGTGGCACAACGCACAACGGAAACTATCAATCTGACATACCAGGGAGAGGCAGCAATTTCATCAAATTATAATCTCCAACCGGTACGGGTTCACACCACCACCACAACGGGCATTACCAGCCACAGGCTCCTCCCTGGTGGTCAACCACTCTCCTCCATGTGCCTCGACCCGCTTGGATACTACAAGGAAACTCTACCAGGATGCCCAACTTACCTCTTCCAATACACATCATTGACATCAAGCCTGGGTTACCATAGGAGGTTGCTCAATCCAACTATGCAGCTCCCTGCACAAGTGGCAGATAAGCTAAAATCGTCGAACTCCACAGACCCGCCCAATCACTAGCAGAGACATGTGCATCCTTTGGCAACAACTCCCTAAACTCCCTTCTGAAAAGTTGTCAAGTCTTTTGTGGCTCCTCTCACATGCAGTCGTCCCCACCTCCAAGTGGTTATACGAACGGGGCATGGATATCGCTACTAAGTGCAGGCGCTGTGGTGGGAGGGCTGAGGAGACCTTGACGCATCAGTTTTCCTCCTGCCCAGCCTCGAGACGCCTCTCGAACTAGTGGTAGACACATTGGAACCGCTTCGTTGGCACTCTCCTCCCCTAGCATGAGACATAGCTTTTCCACGGCCGTGTCCCAGACTCCTGGTTTAAGCACATAGGCAGGGGTTACGTAGCGCAAGCAATTCGAGCCATTCTCATCTGGCTGATATGGGAAGACAGAAACAACGTCTCGTTCAGGCAACAGTGGACCAGCGACCCAACCCTCGTCAACAAACTCAAATCATGGATTCAAACAATGATCTGGGTGGACTGGATCACAAAGGCAAGGCGAGGCTGTTCTACCAGAGGCAGACACTGGTTCCTAGTGATATGGGCCAGAGACTATCAGCTCGCGGCAATAACCTAGGCGAGAGCTCTGGTCCTCTCCCCTTGGCTTTGAAACTAAAACCGGCACAACTCCCCCTCCCACCATTCTTCAACTTCCCACTTACGCGCTCACTCACCCAATCCTCCATTCCCCCCCCTCCTCTTTTCCACCACCTTCTCTTGCTAGACTCTCCACACAAACCGGGGCACTCGGTTTCAGTCTGTGGCTGTAGTAAGCCACAAAGGGTAGGGTGGGAGGAGAGTGTCTAGAAGTAGTACGAAATACGTTATTCCACTCGGTCGTGTTAGGCCGGGGTCAGCCCGCCTTAGGCCTGTGAATAGTACACTAAGCTAGCGTAGATACTGGAACGAGTAGGTGGTACCCTGGTAGGATAGCTCCTTCCTTTGTGTAATGCACACACTAGAGCTATAGGGAATATGCTTCAGGGTGGCAGTACCTCCCTGGCCTCTAGGAATTCTGTAAAGGACACAGTACTTACCCTCAAATACAGTAAATCACGACCTTGGCCCTGTGGTTCCGTACAAGTCGAAGCTGGATAAGGATGCCAGAAGTTCAGTCTATCTCGGTTGAATTGTGAGGTCCCCGGCCTCATTGGTTTACCTTTTCAACACACTAAACCCTTAAAAAAAAAAAAAAAAAAAAAAAAAAAAAAATGCTGCTAAAGCTTTGTCCGTATTTCCTAAAAAAGAAAATGAAGAAATACAATAACCCTCAGTGAAAGGCTCCACATACTATGCAAAGTCGGAGGCAATGACTTGCTAGAAAGTGAAATGAACGTGGACAATACCCTGGCTTGAAGCATTCACAGAAACGAGTTTGGGGATGCACGACCAACGACAACATGTACACTCTCTGTCAAAGTGTCCTCCCATGGCTGTCAGAGAGTCTTCCCAGGAGGAGGTAATGATGGCACAAGCACCGTTGAACCCGTACCTGGAGGCTCGAGCCTCGATTCTAGAAACAATCATCGTCAACGAGCTCAGAATATGTTGTGGAAGGAATCAGATATAAACAAACGGAATGAACTCTCGGATAACTTTCGCTCTATCTGGGTGGACAGTGCAGAAAAACTCTGCGAATTGGATCAAGATAACCAGCTGTGATCAAAACAGTGGATGCTGATGGAATCACAATGGGAAGGATTACCAAGAACCCATTTTCAGTTCCCATTCCAACCAACCAACTTCATCCTTCTCTCGGCCTGGCATCCCCCTCACATCTACAAACCCTCCTCCCCTCCTGAACCTCTCCAAACCCTCCCCCAAACCGTCCCTCAATCCTGCCCCACTACCCTCCCTCCCCTCCCTCCCCGACCACACCCGCTTCCCACTCTCTTTGCAGAAGGCCGACCAAGCAGGGACTTCCCACTGAAGGAGTAGCAAAGGGGATTACTCCCCTGAGACAGAAGATGAAGCCAGCTCCCACTATACATCGATTCTCGGTCAACAGACTGCTCCCCAGAGAAGGAAGGTTGGCAGAGCAGTGGAGATAGTACTTATGAATGACAATTGACAACGTGACAAC